GCCGGATGTGACGTTTATGACGTTTCCTTATGGGATTTTATATGTGTGCATAGAGGAGTTTCGTATCCAGGGGTATATACAGTGCTTTGCAGGTTGCTTGACCCTGCAAACTCATTAATCACGTGACTCTCATCACACTAGTAATACATGTCACGTGAGCAGAAACTGGGTCAAGCAACCTGCAAAGCACTGTAGTATCTATGGGCAAATTTTCTGCAAAGCGCTGTACTCTACTATAATATCTATGCTAGTTATCTACCAGTTTGCCACGCCTGGATTTAGTGGATTTAATAATTTTAGTAATTTTATTTCTTAATTTAAAATGGCGAAAATGCTAAGGGAGAAATTGATCACCTATTACGAGTTAATCCTACAAGTATAACTGCTAATAAAACTATTAATTATTACCTTTATTGAGGGCAAAGACCCGTCCGTCATCAACTGAAGGAGAAGTGACTTCTGGGATGAATTTTTTCTACTAAAAGTAATAAAAATAGTTCTTAATTCCTTCTCATTCCAGCCCTTTGTCACAGGCTAATGTAGAATTTTTAGAAGGAACTATTATGGCAATGTCTTTATCTAACCTCATGCAAATCAAAGTACCGTATAGCCACAAAGTTTCGAGGCAATAAACTTTCGCGAATCAGGCCACAAGTCTTTTTTCTCGAATTAACTTTCGCGGTTCTTGTTTTAAAGCACACGTGTTTATGGGCAATACGGATATTTCACGGAATTAACTTTCGCGAATACGGAAAATCCGCGAAAACAGCGAAAGTTGTACCCTCGAAAATAAGCGGCTATACGGTATATGCACACTAACTATTAATAAATTACTAATAATAACTAGGCTAACGTTAATAACTTGTTTATCCAGTGCTGTGACGACAACATGATTAGAAATATCAATGCGCTGCAGGTTAAATAACTATTATCTGATATGTACATCATACATGCAATTGTTTCTCTCTCTCTCTCTTTTCAGACATCGTGTGTATTAGTTCAGTCAATTTATTGTAAACATTCATCTTCTGATTCCAGCATTGAAGTGGTTGACATTCTGATTGGGGTCGATGCTGCAGACTGTCAAATGAGAGTATGTTCTATTTTTAGTAACTTAAAGCATTCTCTAACATTCTATTTTTAGAACCTAATTGAGTGCTTATGCAAATTTTTATCAGAGGAATATCCTGGTACTACATTATGCAGTAATGCATATACCATGCTCTCTCTTCTCTTCCAGTTAGTGTAAAGAACTTGTGCCTCAAATTCATTCTCATCATCCTAACCTCGATTGATAACATCAGCCAGAATGTCATGCTGGAATATTTCATGCTCAACAGCATATTTGAAGCTCTTGTATCAACATTCTTTCATCCTGATGCTCGGGAGCACCACGGCTATGATGCAGCTGTTGCCCTAGCCCTGTTAGTCAATTAAGAAAGCATGAGGTATTCATGTAGCATAATTTATGTACATGATTTATGTACTGCAATGTGCATGGTCATAGTACATTGCACATTAAGGAATAATGGTATATTAGTATTGTCCAAATAAAGTTGATTAATATTATTAACTTTATAATATTATTAAATTATTTATAATAATTATTATTAAATATACATTATATTGATTCATCACAGGCTGCTAATCTCTATGTAATCAAGCTCTCTGTCTTGGATAATGAGATCATTCTTAATGTTAGTAATGATGACTAATATATTTTAGAATAGGAAATCCTACAAAGTACAAATAACAACTTGTTTTTATTGTATTCATCACTCCAGGGTTTGGGTCATATCATATCAGCAATTTTAACTGAATATATAAAGTAAGATATTAAATTGTTATGTGGTTCAAGTGTAGACTGTGTGAATTGTACACATGTTAGGCAATATTCATCTTCTCATGAAGAGCCAAAGTCATTAATAGGCGCTGTTACCAGCTGGGTAAGAATTTGAATAAACTGCATATTATTATATTGGAAGTGGATATTGGTCCGGCAGCCGGACGCCTACTGCGGGGCTATAGATCCGGCAGTCCGTTGTTCTCCGTA